TGGAAATATTTGGCTACTTATGTAGGGATTTTTATGTAGTTTTATGTATTCATCCCTACATTGTTTCTGTAAGTTTTGGCATTGCAATCAATACATCATTCTTCTTTTTTAAATTTTATTACTTGTATTAATAGAAATATACATGTATTCACATTGCAATTAAAGAGCACTTTTATAAACACTGATTAAAGGTTAGTAGATGGCGTAATAAGCCAACCATGTGACAAGCAATTGTCGTGTTTCGAGAACAGGTTAGAGAAAGCATAACTTCTTACGTTATTTGTGGTTGATATAGTTTTAGGTTTAACTTAGATTATTTAGAATAAAGAAAACTTTAGTTATACTGCTTTTTGGCCTTTAAGAGGTAAGTAACTGAAGTAAATAAAATGTCGTACAAAGGAGGAGTACAGAAAATACAGAAAGTCATGGTGCAACCCATTGTATCCTTTATCATAGTTTATGACTTATACTGTTATAGTTATAATTTACTTTTAAATTATTATGTTTGCAAGAATATAAAATAATTTTGTGAAGTATATCACTATATGTTAAATTTTGTAACATTAACATATTTATATACGTGGAGCCCCTAGAACTCCAATAATAATAATACATCTTTGATTCTTTATTTATGGTATTTTTTAAACCAAAGCCAATTTTGACCTTTGACATTTTTTGTGGTGGAAATATAAAGAACTTAATATTCAACCTTAACATTTTCTTTACTATTAAAATCGCTCACAAAAGAGATTACTGATCACTACAGTTTCTGGTATTCAACCCTTTATTGGTTTCTTCATCAATTAAGTTGTCTGAGTTTAATAGTTTAACAGTAGCTTCATCATTCAATTTCAAATAGTTATGAAACTCGCTAGAAATACTTCCACTTACTGTCCTTTTCTCAGCATACATGTGGTGTTGTGAATAACAAAACTCTACAGTATTATCACATAAAAATAACTTATAGTTATATGTAGAAAACATACTACTCGCACATCAAGAGATCCTACTAAACTGAAAATACATTGATGTTTAGCTCTTGTCTTAAACAATGGGCATGCATTCAAGTAAACAAGTGTATGAGTTTTGAGTACCCCATATATATATATATATACAGTTCAGGGCTAAAAGTTACTTTATAAAACCTAAAGTGCTAAATTAGTCTTAGTGTTACTGAATTAGCAGACCCAAGGTTGGAATATTTGCAGTTTTCAAGTTTTATTACAGACATAAGAACATTCGTTTTGAAATTCAACTTTTAAGCTGAGATGTCTTTTTTAATTTTATTTTAAACATATTACTGAAAATATGAAATTTAAACTATTGTATGTTAAAATAAGAATTCCATTCTAACGTATCAGTTTTTGTTTTCAAAAGTGGATGTCATTTTGTTTTTTGTGATTCTGTTACATAACTGTATTGTTATATTTATAAATTTAACATGTTTTTATCTCATTTTTCTATTTCTCATCTAGCTGTATATGTTATTGTATTATGTTCACTTGTGTTGTGTCTTAGGGCATATTATTCAATTGTTATTTATTATGGGGGAGGGTCACTCACAGTTGAGGCTGTCTGTGTTTTGATCCATTGGGAGATGGAAACATATATTCGGCCAGGGGGCGTTTTTCTCCTGATGCATCTTTGAAGTTGTCGTTTTTATTTATCCTGGTTATGCTAGAGAGAATTTGAACTCTGTTTTTCTGGTGCTTTTCTTTACTAAGTCCACTTTTCATGAGTCCAATTTGGATTAACCACCTCCTACTCCATTTCTTTAATTAGTTCCTGAAAAGTGTCAATTATTCAAAAAAAATAAAGTTACAAATTTGATCCATTCTAGTCTTTTATGAATCTGTGGAGTAAATCTGCTTGTCACATCAAATGGCTATAAATATCAAAGTGGATGTATCTGCTTGATGCATTGTAAGGGTTAAGAAACATTTTTTATCTATTCAAACTCCACTTATTGTAAGTTGTCTGGTAAAAAATACTAGATATTTGTCATTTAAGATTTTTTCTTTAGTTTACAGTTTTTTTTTTTATTATTGTAAGTGGCATTTATCCATTGAAAACTCATTGAATCCTTAAGCTCTAGTAAATACTTTCTTACAAAATTGATTATTTTTTTATTTTTTAAATATACCATTAAACCTGTTACTTAGAAATGACTAAGATATAGGTCAGAAATGGAAGCCATGGGTGAAGACCATTAATTTAACTCTACCATTGCATATATCTTACATGATTGTGTTTAGCAGATACAGCTTGGAAGGCACTGTTAAATTATTTACATTTTCTGTAAAAAATTCTTATTTTGAAATCTCATTAACTGTAAACCTAATTTTTGATAACAAAATTTTATACTTGTAAAGGCATTCACAATATTAATAGTTTATTTAACTTAATGTTTGTGAGTTTTATTCAATGAATATTTTGAGAATTTATTACATATATTGTATTTGGAAAGTAATTGTGTAAAGTATAGTTTCTGTAATTTTCCTTGACAGTTTTTTCCCTTTACAGAACTTGATTTTCAGGTACCTTCAAAATGTAAGAATGAGTTTTTGTTTACTTAATTTTTATTATGTTTGTGTTAGCAGTTGTACAGCTGTAAAGAAAGTTTTCGTATATATGTAAAGTACAGGGTGATTATTAAAGAAAAAACACGTAAAATGATATGTTGAAAACCACATGTCCAAGAGTTCCAAAATTTCACTAGAGGCACATAATTTAAGAAAGCATTTTCAATGTGCCTCAGGAAAAATTTTGATCATGTAAGCCAAGTAATTTTTAAGGTAAAGCAATTTTAAATATGTGATTTTCTTTGTCACATTTTGCTATAATACACTATGAGACTTTATCTAAGGAAAAGTACCATTCAAGTTTGTACCTTAACCATAGAGATGCATAACTAAACTATTAATAAGTGACCAAATGTTTATATGTAATGTAACCTGAAATAACTAAACTATTAATAAGCAGTCAAAGTCAATGTAATATTTTTTGTAATTTGTGAAAAATGCATTTTATCCATGCATTATTATATATATTTTAGTTGCAAATTGCTATGTGCAGGGGGCCGTGTTTATGCTAAATTCTGCATTATTTAAGCAGATGTAACATAGCATACTGGTTCAAGTGACCAAGCATTCCACTGCTCCAAACATCCTCTTTAGAAAATAAAAACCAATTTGGATATTTATATCCAATAGCCATAGAAGTTCAGTAACTAATTGGTAAGTAGAGATGTTAAAGCCTTTCATTTGGTGATATCCCCCATTAAGAATTTAAACAGTGTTATCACCAAGATATCTGATTAACCTAAGTTTCCTTATTACTTATTCTATATTGGTTTTCAAATTTTGTAAGGGTAAAACTGTAATATACATGCTAGGGGTATGCCACACACTATAAAATTTTACAATTCAGAAACAGCTAAAATCAGATAGAAAAAAAATATCATTTAAAAACAACGTTTTGCCATTGTTAATGTGGGATAATCATGATAATACCACGGTAACAGTGGCAAAATGTTTTTAAATGATGTATTTTTTTCTATCCCCTTTTAGCTATTTTTGAATTTCAAAACTATAATAATTAAAACTTTTGTTATTAATGCTATTTCAACTTTGACTTTTATTTTGATTACTATAATATATTGGTTAATTGAAAATACTAAATTATTATGCCCGAAGTCTTTTTTCCTTCAATAACAAAAACTGAAAAATTTTGTTACAGTGTTACACAACTAATGATATCCTACGATCACGGTAAAAATAAAACATTACAAATGGAGAAGTTAAACAGTTTTACTACAATAATACTGCATTATCTGAATTATAGTTTTGGCATGGCATGGCTTTGTGATTAGGGTACTCAACTCACAATCTGTAGGTTGTCAGATCAAAATACATCCCAGGACATACATGCCCTTTTAGCCATAGGGGCATTATAATGCATTGGTCAATCCCACTATTTGGTAGTAAAAAGTAGCCTAAGAGTTGGTGTTGGGTGCTGCCTATCAGTTGCATTCCCTGTAGTCTTCAGCTAAAATTTGGAGAAAGTGGCAGATGCCTTAATAGCTTTTTTGTTTTCTTCTTATTCACTCTCTAATGATTTTAAAATTTTGTAAGATATGATTACTAAAAGTTTAATTTTATAAAATGAGTTGATATTATTAAAATGTTTATGTTGCTTGACTTTAAATTTAAGGCTACTTTAATATATAAAATACTAGGTTTTTACTTTGGATAAGTACATGTTTACCTCATAAATCAAATGTGTTATGATTTGTTTCCCTTGATTAATAACAAACCCTTGAGTAACTGTGTAGTTACAACACTTAAGACTCCAACACTGTAATAAATGTGCTCATGTAAAATAATACTGAATTATCTAAATGTTAAACTATGTATGAGCTTTATTTAATTATTTTTTCCTGTTGAAAAAAGGTCTACCATCCAGAAGGATTGGGATTATAGAGTTAATTTTTGTCTTTCATTATAGTGTGCAGTGAGTAGTAGTTAGTATTAATACATTTTGTCACTTATTATACAGAGAGCAAGAATTCAAATATGGCTCTATGAAAATGTAAACCTCAGAATAGAAGGACATATTATTGTAAGTATTAAATAGTATAAACTTGCCGTATGTTTCTTTTTTTTAGCAGTTTTTATTGTCAGCTTTATAGCTAAATTTGGTTAAAAACATATCACTAAATTAAAATTTCACTGCTATTTTAAATGCAAAATTATCAATTGTCATACAAATGTTTAAAGATGTTCATAGATTTATATCCTGTATAGTAGGTATGTTTGCTTTGCTTTTTTGGCTAGAACCTGAGTTTAGATGTTAAGCTGAAAGATAAAAATACTAATTTTGATGGAAGTTGCTATAAAAACTCAAAAAATAATTAACATTAATTTTCTATATTCTTTTAAATTTTATCGTTCAAATTAGAATTTTTTATATTTCTAAAATGTCAATTCAGACATATTTCATAAAATTAGATAGCATATTTTATTTTAATGTTTAATCTCTAAAAAAATAATGTAGAACTTATGTACACAGATTTTTGCTAAGAACAAAGTACTTACAAAAATATTCTCAGTGAAAAAAAGAAAATTGTTTAATACGTTGAAGCATTTATTCAGAGTTTGCATGTCCCAACCTTGTACAGATTACCATTCAACATTGTATTATGCATTTGGAGTCAGAGTTATCAACATTTCATGTTAGTTTACATTATTGATTTTGCAATGGTTTGTGTTGAGAGTAGAGAAAATACCAAATATACTGTATACTGAAAAAATATATATGCATTTAGAAGGCTGAAGGGGTTATGCAAATACAATATGAAAACAGTACAATGAACAGAAGTATATTCATTCTTCACATGAACATCAACTTTTACTCAAACTTGCAAGAATAACAAGTCTGAAATGAACACAAAACTGAACAAATTATGGAAACAGAAAAGAAACCTTTCTTTCAGTGTAAAGTACATTGCATAGTTTTTAATTATGAAAAATTTTAAATAACATGTCATTGTTATTTTTTTTTCATAAAATTTTATGCTCTATTACATCTTTGTTTTGTTTATTTGAAAATGAAGATTTGAGGGAAAGAAATAGAAACATACTGCAAGTCAGTATTAAATATTACAATCACTAAAGTACTGTAAACTTGAATATATGAACCCATTAATTTACCAAACTGAGGGAGAGCTGCTTCAGGACCAGTTTTGTTACGTTACTATTTATAAGAAGACCCAAAACTAATTGCAAAAGCTTGTATACAATATTATTTTCCTTTACCAAAAATTTCTAATTTCCCAAAGTAGAATTATTAAAATGTGTGGTGTTTGCACACAAAGGAAGATGGTATTATTAACTTTTTTTTACAGAATACAGTGTATAAGTATTTTTATACATATCATTATAGAAAAATCACTTTTATAATATCAGTTTACCATGCACTTCATATTTTACCATAATTCAAATGTCACATGATTAAACATCTGATTTATTCATGAAAATAGTTTATTAAAAAATGATTAAAAGCAATTAATTGGGATAGGTAATGAAAGAAAAAATGTTTCTGAAATTAAACATTGATAAGAAACTAATTGTAGCTTTTAGTATTTTATCAGTTTGAAGAAATGTAACTTCTATTATTTTCAATTTGATAAAATGTAGCATTTAATATTTTAATTTTGGTGGAATGTAACTTTTAATATTTTTCTTTCACTTCCTGTTTTATGTTAAATTATGTTACCTTTCACATATTTTTCATTATGTCTGTTAGGGGTTTGATGAGTATATGAATCTTGTATTGGATGAAGCAGAAGAAATCCACATTAAAACAAAGCAAAGGAAACAAGTTGGTAAGAAAAGTGGCCTAGTCTCTTTCACTAGAATGGAGAGATGTATTTTGCCACAATTTTTCTTATGCATCTTCTTATATGTAGAATATCTTTGTTAGTTTTGCTTTGATTTGTTATTATTGAGAAGTTTAGTCAATGTGACTGATCTTATAACCACAAAGTAACCATCAGAGTTTCCATACTATAACTTTTGATTTGTTTTGTGTATCTTCATGACATTGGGCAAGCTTTCAATAAATATTACAATATTACTTATATTGGCACAGCTAGCTCCCTCTGCTATTTTACCCTTCCTTCACCCAATTAAGACCAACCTGGCTTGGTAGCTAGACAGAGACCAGATCACGGTGAAGATTCCACTTCCTTCACCACATCCAGATTTATATCTGTTTATGGATGCATCTTTAAAGGGTGGAGGTGCTTACCTCGACACTCTGGAGATTTCCAGTCTCTAGTTGGTCGAGGAGTCTTCTCTCCATATCAACATTCTTGAACTGATGTTGATTTGTCGAGCTATGTCCCACTTCCTTCCTCTCCTGTGGGGGGAAGGTAGTTATGGTACACTCCAACCACTCCACAGTGGTCAATTATATCACCAAGCA